TAAACAACACTTAATTCTCCCCCACAATGTAACAATGTGGCAATGTGACATCACGTGCAAAGCATTGCCAACCATGGTACCCAAGCTTTGGTGTCCAGGGTTTTTGTTAGCCTGCAGCAGACTATTATGCTGACAATACAGTGGGTACAGACAAAAGATTGTGATTTGGGACACATTTTAAGAAACCAGGCTAAGAGCATGGATGTGCTTCTTGTGCACAGGTCTAAGGTAGCTACATATAAGCAATGAGGAGAGGGGTAATGGGAAAGAGAGGCTTGTCCGAGGATAAATACAAAAGGATAGCATTTAATAAATGTCAGGATGGCCGAAACCCAGCATAACATGAGGTTTGACAAATAATCTGATGAAGATTTAAAAGGCCATTTTTAGCTACATTCAGAGTTTGAAGAAACAGGCTTCTGGTTTGGGGAAGAAAGCTTTGGTGCTAAGAGATGGCAAAAAGAAAGCAAAACTCATGCCCTATAATGTTCCCATTTTCTGCCTGAATTGTGAAGGACATGTAGTTGTCCTTTTGAAAACCAAGAAGGTCAAAAGAGAGATGTCAAAAAATCAGAAATGAGCAAATGTGCACATTTTTTAAAAATGGGGGGAAAATAGATTTGGGAAACTATAGAATTTAATATTGATATAAATCTAAGTTAAAATTCTAGAAAAGAGTATTCAGAATAGCTTATGAGCAATTGGAAAAGAGACAGTCACTAGGAGCCTCTCTGTTCACTATGGCTAAGCCTTGCTAAACAAATCTCATTTCCTTTCTTAATCAGCTTACTAGAAGAGAAAATCTGGGGAAATTGGTGTATCTTGATTTTGGCCAACACTTTGCCAGAGTCTCAGGATATCCTTATGGACAAACCAGAGAAATATGAGTTAGAAAAAAAAAAAAAGAAAGAAATATGATTTAGAGGACATCGCATTAAATAGATTCTCAGACACTTGAATCAGAAGACTTAGACCTATCAGCTGGCTTCTATTGCATAAAGATATAGATGGGATTTTACAAATTTGTAAGTGACACAAGCATATCAGGTGATTGAGTCAAGATTCAGAGAGACTTTGGGGACGCGAGACAGGTCATATCAACAAGATGGTACTTTAAAATAATAAGGAATCGGCGCGCCTGGGTGGCTCAGTCGTTAAGCGTCTGCCTTCAGCTCAGGTCATGATCCCAGGGTCTTGGGATCAAGCCCTGCGTCGGGCTCCCTGATCCGTGGGAAGCCTGCTTCTCCCTCTCCCACTCCCCCTGCTTGTGTTCCCTCTCTCGTTGTGTCTCTCTATGTCAAATAAATAAATAAAATCTTAAAAAATAATAATAATAGGGAAGCAAAGAACTTTATTTTTTTTTTAAAGATTTTATTTATTTATTAGAGAGAGAGAATGAGAGATAGAGAGCACGAGAGGGAAGAGGGTCAGAGGGAGAAGCAGACTCCCCGCCGAGCAGGGAGCCCGATGTGGGACTCAATCCCGGGACTCCAGGATCATGACCTGAGCCGAAGGCAGTCGCTTAACCAACTGAGCCACCCAGGCGCCCAGAACTTTATTTTTTAAAAGAACAAATTTTGGGTGCCTGTGTGGCTCAGTAGGTTAAGTATCTGCCTTTGGCTCAGGTCATGATCCCAGGGTCCTGGGATGGAGCCCTGTTGTGAGGCTCCGTACAGCAGGGAGCCTCCTTCCTCTCCCTCTCCCCTTCCCCCCAGCTAGTGCACTCTCTCTCTCATAAATAAATAAAATCTTTCAAAAAAAGAACGAATTTTAAATCATCTCTTTAGGGATGTTTATATGAATGTATGTGTTGGTTGAAAATAGCTCATGGGCAAAAAGACTTAGTTGGGAGTGTCAAGTGAACAAACATTTGATGTTAAACCAAATATGTATGATATGCTTTCATTTATTCAAAAAATGTTATGTGGCTGTCATGAAAGTAAATTCCATCTTAACTTGCATTTAAAAGTGTAGAATCCCAGTCCAGGATAGTGGTGGTGCTGCCGACGCTACAGTAATGAGAGAACATTTGGGTACTCTGCTCAGTTTTCTGAGAGACACCTTGAGACACAGAATTAGCATCCAGAAGAGGCCCCCAGGGCACGAGGGCTGGAGACCGTGTGGTAACTGGGAGATGAGGATCTGTGAAGGTTGGTCATTTTGAAGAAAGACTAAGCAGAGATGTGAAACTGATCTTTAAATTTGTTAAGGGCTATTATCTGGATGTTTTCATAGACTCCTGTTTTGTTCCTTAGGCAGCCAAAGTTACGGGGTTAATAGCTATGCGTTATAGGAAATTGTGTTTCAGCTAGTTTCTTGCAGCATGTCAGCTCCTTTACCAGACCTTAAGCATACGGAGATGAGCAGGACCAGATCATTTTCCTACAGACTGAACAGTCCATAAATTCATTACTCTACAGAGAGAAGTGGCTCGATATGCCATGGCTCTTCCAACAATGAGACTCCTTTGAGAGCCAGATGCCCCTTAATGCCTTGAGCTCCTGTCTCTGGAACACAAAGACAAAGGAAAGACATTCAGGTTCTGTTTGAGGGTCTGAGGCTGGGCTAATGCTATCTGGACCTAGATGTGGTGTTCCGGTAGCCACTGAGAACCAAGACCCATGTTTACCAGGACAGGTAAAGAGGGTTGTTTAAGGAGAGTCTGAACTGTGTTGAAGGAGAAAAGCAGAAGTTCAAAGTCAGGAAAGTGTCCCTGAGCATCAGATACACAAGAGCCACAAACTGACAACAGGAGGACAACTCAGGAGTCAACAAAAGGGAGGAGCAGACATAATCAGGAAACATGGTGTGAGACTGGTTAAAGCCAGCAGTCTGGAACAGAGCTTGGCAATGGTGTCAGCAGTCAGGGGCTGGTTAGGATCTCTGTGGGACCAAGTGGGCTTGGGCCTGAGTCAGACAGGAGTAGTCTAGAGGCTGGACCACCATCTGTCAGGGGTGTTAGAGAAGGGATTTGTGCCAGATATCCTCTACTTGCCTCTCCCGCTCTTCACTCCACCCTTCTCCAACCTGCTCTAGGTCCAGGAAGTGGACTTGCATAACTTGCATCAGTGGGATCCTTGACCTCTGAATCTGGTTAGCTTCTGAAAACTGGAAGCCTCAGTTAGAGATTGGAGAGGCGAGGAGAATAAGGTGTGGATAAGGTGCCCCCTGCCTGCCTCCCTGTGGGGTCACCTTGGGATTTCTGTGTTCCTAGGCTGAAGGTTGCAGCTCCTCTTAAGATGTCTCTATGTATACAGCTCTCTCTTCTAGGATCTGGTAGCCACTCCCTTCCCTCCTCCCTTGAAACCTAGAGCTGGTAGCAGTTCCAGATATACTAGCTCTAGGATACTGCACTATCCCTTGTGGCTCTCCTACAACTTGCCCACCCCTTTATGAAAATAATTTATTAAACTCTTGTTGAATCATCCTAATGTGAATATGTCATCTCTTTCTTGGTTGTACCTTGGCTGACACAGGATTCTGGATTGAGTGAGAAGATGAGTTAAATTATTTCAAAAAATACTTACATTCTGTGGTTCTGGATTTCTTATCACTGACCTTAGAGGTTTGTAGACCCAGAAGTGATGCAAACTAACTTCCTATACCTAGGAATCCACAATAGGTACTTTTATAGTTGATAGGAAGTTCACCTAGAGACTTGTGAGGCGGTTTAGCCATGTAAGCAATACAATTTATTATTTTTGTAAGAATTCATGTTATCAGGATGTCTGACAGTATTTTTCAGTTGCTCTCACTATGTCTGCAGGGTCAGCTAACATCTTTACTGCCGTTATATAAAAGGGCCAAAGGAAGCTTTCACTAGCCAGCAGAACATTGGCGAGGTCATAAAAGAGCCATAATTAATCTTCAATATCTCTCATAGACAAGCTACAAAGCATGTGACCCTTTTTGGGAAGACTGATTAGTTGAGGCTCTCCATAATGATGCTAATTCAAGGATGTCCCAGAACCTCAGGAAAAGAAGGAAGAGCCTATATAGTCTACATGACTTCAAACTGTGTGATTTCTGAGTCTCATGAGCCATAGAAAACATATTGTCTTCTGACAATGTAGACCATTTCCATCTGACTCTGAATTGAGGGTTTTGTTGTTGTCACTTGGGTGGGCTTTATGTAATCTTACTTCCGAAGAGTCATTATCTTTTAGAAATAAACAGTGAAACCTTATGAGATGGTATAACTGAACTCTGCTTCACAATAATCCAGAAAGAGGTGGGGGGAGAGATAAAGCAAGATCGGCCATGAAGTGATAGCTGCACCAGCTGGGTGATGGAGACGTGGAAGTACATTCTACTCTTCTCTCTGCTTTTGTATGATTTAAAAATGATTGGATATTAAAAAGTAAATAAATAGTTAATTAAAAAGTTGCTGCTTGATACAGGAAAACTCATTTATTATTGCTTGATGCCACTGATGTCATGAAGAAGTTCTGTGGGTAGGTTTCAGGGGTATAACAGGAAAAACATGTTGAAATAAATGTAAATGAGGAGTGCTATCTTTATGAAAGTTTAATGAAATCGGGCTCAATGGAAAATACCAAGATGATGTTCAGAATGTACATTTAGAATATTCTTTCATGAATTGAGAAGGAAAGCAAACAAAAATACTACATTCATGTTTTAAAATATACTTTATATGGACTTTGCTTCTAAATAACCTGGGATGAGGGGGAACTGGGTGAGGTTGCAGATGAAGCAAGATTGACCATGAGTTAATATTTGTTTAATTGGGGGAATGGTCACATAGCAGTTCGCGATGCTATTCTTTCTACTTTTATATATGCTTTACATGTTCAATAGAATAGTTTTTAAAAATAAAACATACTGCACATCCAAAATGTGACCATTTACATTGAGACAGTATTAACTTTTATGATTTAATGAAATGTAATATTACGCTATTTCTCTTCCTCCTCCTTAGACTTTGCCTTTTCTAATATATTACTGTTTGTTCATTTCTCTCCTCTTCCCCCATGCCTTAGTTTTGTCTGTTATATGGAACCAAGCTGGTGTTCCAGGAGCGAGCCTGGTATCTAGAACATAAATTTTTGACTCCCATGGCCAGCACGAGGATTAGGAGTCAGGTAAGGGTCCCTGGTGTGCAGAAGAAACCCTTTGTACATCAGCTGTCAGCTCTTTGCTTTCTTAGAAAACAGCTGTCAGTCTTTTATCGGTTTCCACTCATGGATTTTTATGCCTTTGGGACTTCATATACATGTTTTCATTGCCTACCATGATCATATTACACTTGAGTTTAAGTGACAAGGAAGTGATTCACTGTGTATGAACTTTCTGACATGAAAAGCAGAGGGAATCAAAAGCATTTTCTTTGTCTTGGCAAAAAAGAAATGTATTAAGTGATTTTCATTTTTCTACTTCTTACCAAAATCTATTAACTCATTCTTCATATTCAGAAAGAAAGACCTGTGGTATTTTTATGTCAGAAGTAGTGATGGAAATTCAATGTGAAAGCGGCAGAACACCTGAAAATGGAGATAGAGCCAATGAATCGCCACCAAAATGCTGCTCGAAAGAAAAAAAAATGTATAAAACAGCATAATCATCTATAAAACACGCTTTCTGAGTGTTTTCTGAGGGGCCTGTCTTCTAGGGCCTCCATTAGATGCTAAAACATAAACAGGTATATGCTCAGTCTCTGCATTCAAAGGAGCTTATTATACATGAGGACACAAAACTGACTTTAAAATGCAAATAAAAACACAAGGGAACAGAGACTTTCCAAGGAATAATTCCAGAGTTCAGAGGACAGAAATCACTTAGGAGCAAATGTCATTCTTGTACTAGACCTTCAGGAGTGGAAAATTCCAACCAAGTGGTGGTATGACTGAAGAGGGGGTAATGCAGGTGAGGCTTCAGACAGGGTTGGTGAAGTGAGTAAAATCATACAAATGGGAGTACTTGGGACAGACATGTTAAGAAACAGCAAGAAGACCAGTTTGGCTGACATCTCAAGTGAAAGCCTGGAGAAATCTGCAGGAGCCAGACTGAGGTGAACACTGAAGAACCTTGAAGAGTCTTTTTCCTTTTCAGGAGAACAATTATTATGAAGAAAAGCATATGCAAAGATGTTTCAGTCATCTGTTGCTATGTAACAAGTGACCCCAAAACTTAGTGGCTTAGAACATCTAGTTATTATTTCTCACAATTCTGAATCTGAATGGGGCTCAGCTGGATGGTTTTCCTGCTGCCTGAGGTGTCTGCTGGGTTCTTCACTCTCATGGTGGTAACCTCAGCTGGGGTGGCAGGATCATCTGGGGGCTGCTGGGCAATTGTCTCCTTTGGATTGGCCGGATGTGGGCTTCCTCAAAACACAGTAGTGTCAGGAGGGCTGACTGTTTTATATCATGACCGGCTTCCAGAGGGGAAGTGGAAGATGCCAGTCATCTCAAGGCTCAGCCCACTGTTAACACAGTGTTACTTCAGCTGCATTCTGTTGGCCCAAGGGAGCCCCAAAGCCAGGATAGATTTGGGCAAGAGAAGAGACTTCACCTCTCCTTATGAGAAGCAACATGCACATATAGGGAAGGAAAAATTGATGGCAGCTATCTTTGGACACTGTCTACGTTCCACAAAGAAAATGCCCACTTTGGGGAGAGGAAAAAGGAATACTTTAATTAAAAAAAAAGAGTTACATGAAGGAAGATTTTAAATCCACGTGATTAAGTATTTCAGTGACGTAGATGAGATAAAAAATCCATCAAAAGAATGTTGAGTAAAAGACACCAACTTTCACATATAACATTGAAGTGCTTTTGTATTCTATTAGTGCAACACACTTTGCACTTTTCATTTCCTAGATACTCGTAGCAGCCTGGGAGAAAAGCAGGGAGCAGCCAGACATTTTGGAACAAACTATCTGTGGGGCTAGAGGTGGGTTGCTGGGACCTATAGGACATCTCAAGGCCTTCTTGTGCAGATCTCAGTGCTGCCGACCGTGAGCACTCACGCCTTCTCTGGGCTTTCCCAGTATTCCCAGAGGGAAGAGTGTGGTGCAGCTGGTACAAATGCTTCTGCCGCACCCCTTGCAGGGATTTCAAGGTTTCAGAAATGTTATTAGCAGCTTCTTTTCACTAAAATGTCTGGGACCCTTGGCCATTTAGAGGTGCTTAACAGGAATGGGCTTGTGAAAGGGTGAAAAGGGGACAGGGAATGATTGATATTACTGAAACTGATCTAGATGCTTTCACATGATAACTTCAAGTTTACTGATTCTTTCTTTCTTTAGGTGCATCTAATGGGCTGGTTAACTCATCCCCTAAATTTTTGATCCTGTTTGTTAGGATTTTTATCTTAAAAAATATTTTTTGGTTTCTGTTTTATATCATCTGTATAACTTTTTAGTTTCTTATCCCCTAAAGATATATTCAATTTTGTCTTTGATTTCTTTATGCATTGAAGCATAGTTATTTTATAGTCTATAGCTAATAATCCCAGTATCTTAAGACTTTAGCATTCTATTTCCTTTTGTCTATTATTTCTGCTTTGTGTATAGTTATCTTTTAATATGTGCTGGTCATTGTTTTTGAAAAAAAATGTTTTGTGAGATTTACATGAAGGCCAAATTGAAGGCACCTTCTTCCCCTTATAAAGCATCTGAAGGTGCTCTCAGTTTAAGACCCAACTTAAACCAAACTCAAGACTTGAGGTTTCCTGTAAGACTCAGAGAGTTCAAATAAGAGCAGTAATTCCTTCACCCTCCCCCAAGGTTATAACTGTTTGGTACCCAGCTTATTATAGCAAGGGTCTCTATTAAGTTTCTTGCCTAGTGCTGGCCCTGGTTTTGACTATCATCACCCCTAATGCCCCCCAAGCCACCATGAGGCTATCAAGTGAAAATTCAAAATTGCTGGAAATAGCAAATGCCTTCAGGGTAAATGCAACTTTCTTACTTGTTTAGTTTCTTTGGTTCCCACTTTCCCATAATTTTTGCCATTATTATTTTGCCAGATCATTTATACTTTGAAGAGGATTCCTATATTTTCTCTAAGAATTTTGGTTGTTTTCAGCAGAACGGTTAGGGGGCAAAATCTAGCTCTTGAGTATCAGAAACAGGAAGTTCCTTCAGTGTTATACCACTTGACTCCACAATAGCCTTGTATGTCATTTTCATTATCCTTACACATAGATGAGGAAATGGAAACCCAACATGGCAAACTAACTTGCCCAAAGTAACACAGCTAGTGAAAACCCATATTTCTCTGACTCTAAACATTTTCATTTATTTTATTTGGATAAAAATCAGCATTAGCTAGTAACAACAAGTACACCCAGTGTCCAGTTCTTGGTTTCTAATACCATTTTCCATTAAAAGGAAGCAGAGTCCTTGGAGAAATGGTTGATTCTAGGACCGGGGCAATGAATATATAAGACGAGCCTGGAGCATCTTTCAGTGCTAGGAAGTGAGAAAGTGCTCCAAACAAAAACAAAAACGAAATACCCCACGATTGTGGGGTTATGCCAAAGGGACACTGGAAGGAGCTAACTGAAAGAGCTCCTAATGGCCAAAGCTGGAACAATTTGAGCAACAAAATAAATAACATGGCATTGGATTATAACCTCAAGTGTAAAATAATTAAACAGAGGTCCATAATGATATAAATAAATGATTAAACAGATCCATAAATGGGGCAAAAGAGACCAATCTTTCTTACTAATGTATGTAGATTCTTGCCCCTTCCCCCTTCCCTTCCCGTGTGGGTTGGACTCGGTGATTTTCTTTTATTTTAAAGAACAGAGCATTGAAAGGGAAAACAGTCACTTTACAGTGGAACAGTCTGGCAGATCCCACCTTAACCAAGCGCATAGGGAGAATATCACCAGTAATAAGTTGTGCTGACGACATGCACTTGTAATATTGTATGGTGAGAAGAGCAGTTCACTCTTCCCCAAATCCATAACCCCAATCCAATCATCAGGGGAAAAAAAAGTCAGACTGAACCAGATGGAGGGACGGTCTCTATAAGACCTGCGATGTCCTCCTCAAACTGCCAGTACATGAAAGACAGGGAAAAACTAAGAAACCAACACAGACCAGAGGAGATTAAGGAGACATGATGACTAAAAGCAGTGTGGTGTCCCGGATTGAGTCCTGGAAGAGAAAAAGGACATTGCTAGAAAAACTGGTGAAATCCGAATAAATCTATAGTATGTTAATATTAATGTACCAATATTGACTTCTTAGTTTTTACAATGGACCATAGTTATATTAGGTGTTAAGAGAAGAATTAGAAGAAACTGGGTGAAGGACGTATGGGAACTCTGTGTGTCATCTTTGGAACTTTTCCTTAAATCTAGAAGTATTCCAAAATAAAAAGTTTATTAAGAAAAAAACACATCAGGGAGTAGCAATCAGCCTGGGCTTGATTGTAAATAATAAAACTTCAGAACACCCAGGAGTTACGCTAAAACTCTAGGCTAATTATAATTAGCAATGCATATATTTATGCTAAAAGAGAACAAAATTTAATTTCATTCTCATAAAGATCTTCCAGGTAAGTAAGGCTGGTACAGTCCCCACTCAACAAATGAGTAAAACTAAGAAACCGAAAAGCTAAACGACTGCCCAAGATTCTAGCTGAGCGTAGAAACCGGAACTCCCAACTCCAAATGGAGGTGGATGAAGCATCATCCTGCTTGTCTGCATGGAACAGTACAAGACCTGAGTTCAAAAGCTTCACAGAGGCCTGCCTGGTGTCCCAGACGGAGTAAAATCCATCCACATATTGTAAAGGCAGCACAATTGCCCCATTGTCCAACTGAAGCCCACAGGAGAGGGGGTTGGGTTGGGGTTTGTTTTCTTTTTAAACTCAAATCTCTCCCCTACAGCCCTTCCTAGCTATGATAACCAGCTCCTCTCTTTTGTCTGGAACTTGATTGTTGACAGAGCTCATCCACATTCATTATCCTGTGTAATCCCCACAAGCACCCCTTAGTGTGAATAGCTGTTAATCCACTTTATGGATTGGGAGTCTAAGGCCGATTTGCTGCTGGTTTAAGGAGTGGTAAAGGTGAGACTTTTGGATTCTAGGACACTGCTGTTCTCAGGTTCCCAGGCCTGAACTGT